CCCCCCCCCCCCCCCCCCCCCCCCCCCCCGAGATCTATTTCAATGCTCGGTTACCCCACAACCAAGAATGTGCCAAAACACCAAAACATGGTGTGGTTTTCTAGGCATCTCGAAGAAATATTTCTGTCAACGCATCGGGTTCTTCCTTCCCGCACGCACCCCCGTTGGCTGTGGAGCAATCGAATCGAGCTTTGAAAGCCGGTCTAGGGGGGGTGCCATCTCTCCGCCTCTTACGGTACAGTACTACAATTCTCAAACTCCAACCAGCTGTGTATATACACAAGACAACAGCAGTAGTAGTGTAATGCAGATCGCAAGTTGTTGAGTTGTCACCTAGCATATGCTTATGTAGCTCCACGTGTAGGCACGCACGACAGCGACGAGCGCAGAGCACACACAACGCCGTACAGGTGATCGGATGTATGCATAGACACAGCTAGAGTTGTGGGCGTTCCGGCGTGCCTGGCGAATCGACCTGCGCTATTCAGAGGGGTCGGCGCCATTCAAAGGTCAGAACGGCGTTGGCGATTCAGTCTGTGCCAGCAACTACACCAACGCTATTCAACGGGGGTTATTGAGGTCCCACTACAAGCTAGTGCTGTACCGCTGAATTGCTGTTGATGTGCGCAGAACAATGGTGAGTGCTAGGAAGATAAATATCTAGCGTAGCAGCAGTAGATGCCAAACAGCAGTGTAAACATATTTACATGTACTACTATGTTGTCTGTTGCGTGAAGCGACCCACACGGGGACGTGTCTCGCCACAAACACAGCATCTCGCGGCTCGCCAGGGTGTGTTGCTTGTTTGCTGCAAGCCTAGCATGTGTCTTGTGCGCGTCCATCCATCGGCAGCAGCTTTCAATCCATGTTCGGCTTGGAATCGCGGCTTTCTTGGTTATTACTCCTCAACGGAAATGATGAGGATGGAGCAAAGTGTGCGTATTGCATCCATACATACCTCAAAATTGTACAACACAGAGCAATTTAGCTATTATACATATGCACATGGTACTGCCGGGATGCATACCACGCCTCAGCGGGACATCTTTCCTATTTTCTTGCCAGGTGAGATGAGTGACAGAAAAAGGATGAAAGCCGACTCGTTGCGGCACACCGCTGAGCGAGCCGCCTGAAGGCCTTTCCTACCTTGTGCGGCGGGTTTCGGGGTGAGATTTCGGGCCCAACTCCTCCAACTCAATTTCATCGTGTACCGATTTGTGTCACCGACACCTGCCCGGTATAATACCGTTTTCTGTCTTTTTTCTTCTGTCCTTTTTTTTTCTGCCCGTTTTTCGCGTGTTGTGTCTTCCCAAATTTTCGCCGCGAGAGTTGAGGAAATTTTTCCGGGCGGTTGGCGCCTTGGTGTGTTTAGCTTCAGCTGTCAGGTGCAGGCTACTGTAGGCATGTTGCAGGCGTGAGGATTGGGCGGCTCGGAAACGCGTTCCGAGTTTCGGTTCCTTTTCACGACAGTCTTGGCAAACTTCCGCAAAGAGGGCGGTTCATTCAGAAGAAGGTCAACGCTGGAACTCTGTACAACCGCTTTTACAAGGAGAGCAGACATGGTACAAGTACAACGAATTTTCGCACCGAGTTGTTCTTTGTGTCACACAAGCAAGCACATCTTTACGCATTTGACTGCGTCGTGCCAGGTAGACAGCCTGTGTGCCACCGGTCACTCGGCCTATCTCTTCTGTTGGGTGTGAGGCACGCACGCACACGCGCATGACCACCACCTCATCACGATCATGTTCTAGCAAGTTGCAGTACCAGCAGGGTGGGCGCGTGGGGTACCCAGCACCAGGTGGGCATGTTCGAACACGAAGCACTTCGCTGCCGATCGGCGCTCCACGTTCTATCTTTGTGGGAAGCAAAGGTTTTCTCTCCTACGGTAAGGTGTAGGAACGGTGTAGTAGGTCTCGGGGAGGCTCAGTGTGCATACCCTCTCTCTGCCTACGTCGGGGCATGCTCTGCTCTGGTGGGCTCTGGCGGCGTTCTCACAGAGTGCAGGCAGCAGCAAGGATTCAACAAGCCCGTGATGTAGCAGCGTCACACCGAGAGACGCGATGTAGATTACGATGA